CCAGAAATGGTGCTGTGGCTCAAGTGGTAGAGCGCTAGCCTTGAGCTGAAGAGCTGAGGGACAGCACCCAGGCCCAGAGTTCAGGCCCACGACTGGACCCAAAAAAAAAAAAGAGAGAGAGAGAGAGATCCTGACTAGGGTGGAGGATTCCAGTTTAGCAAAGGGAAGTGACATCCTCAGCTTGAATGAGCTGACCTGAGATTTGAACCCAGACCTTTTTTCTTTTTAATCTAGTACCTACCTCTCTTGGGTACTGACTTTTTAGCTTAGCAGACCCTGGACTCTCTCTAGTTACCCTTTTTTTCATAAGGGTGATTAACAAGGGCTCCTGGGTTTGAGTAAGACCTCTCTCTCTCTCTCTCTCTCTCTCTGCCTCCCTCCCCTCCCTCTCTCTCTCCCTCCTTCCCCTTTTTCTTTTTCTTTTCTTTTCTTTTTTTTTGCCAACCCTGGGGCTTGAGCTCAGGGCCAGGACGCTGTCCCCGAGCCTCTTTGAGTTCAAGGCTGGTCCTCTACCACTTGAGCCACAGCACCACTTCTGGCTTGTTCTGAGTAGTTTATTGGAGATAAGTCTCATGGACTTTTCTGCCCCTGCTGACTTTGCACCACAATCCTCAGATCTCAGCCTCTTGAGTAGCTAGGATTACAGGCGTGAGCCACCAGCACCCGACTGAGTCAGACCATTCTAATCCATGCCTTCATGTAAATTCCCACGGTGACACTCATAGTCACCCCCATTTTACAGACAAGGAAATGGAGGTTCAGAGTGACTACGTCACTCCCCTAAGGATACAGCCTGGGAGAAAGGGAACTAGGGCTAAAGCCTGTGCCTTCTCCATCAGACACCCAGCTCACACCCCCCAGGGCTCACCCAGCTGCGAGGTGTTGGTGGCCGAGTCCCCAACTCCACACCACAGCGTGCCAGGTACTGTCCAGCCTCTCTTCCTTCGCAGGTGCCCTTTGCCAAATGTTCCCTTCTTCTCTGCTGCCCGCTTCTCCCTAAGCCCTGTGGGGCTTCCCTGGAGTCTTCTGCAGGCCTCCCACTGGCTCTCAAGGGTAGCCAGGGCTTTCTGTACCTCAGGTCCAGGGGTGTGGATGAAGGATCCTCGGGCAGGCTCATGAACACAGAGGGTCTTGAAGGTGGTGATGAGTTCTGGTTCACCCAGCCGGTTACATACCTGCAGTCTTCCGTAGTCATCCCACTGGGCTTCGAACAGGGCCAACCCCTGGGCATCCTTGCTCAGAAAGCTCAAGGAACCCAGAGGTCTGCCGGGGGTGGGCCTGGCCAAGTGGCAGAAGGTGCTTTCCCAACGGAGGGTAAGAGAACCCCCCGGGAGTACCCCTAGGAAGCCCAGCACCCCTAGCAGTACTCTCAGAACTCCCATTCTGCACCTGGGCCAGCCTGGCCAGACAAAGCCGCCAGGATGCTTTTCCCACGAGGCAGCAGCAGAAGTGGCCGGGGCAGCAGCAGCGGAAGCGATGCCCTGTGCGGCGGGGCCAATGAATGAAGCTGCAGGCGGAGGAGGCAGGAGGACTGGGATATGGGGTGATCTTGGGCTTGTAACCGAATCCACCGGCCGGGCAGGCTGCTGATTGGCTGAGGAATGCACCTGGCAGGCTTCTGATTGGCTGAGAAGTGCGCCGGGCAGGCTGCTGATTGGCTGAGAAGTGCACTTGCCAGGCCCACGCCTCCACTCACCCCGGCCCTTCCCGACCCGGGCAAGTCACCTGCTGCCAGCCCTGCCTGGAGTGGGGTCTGTGGGAGGCAAAGCCCGGGCCTCTGAAAACGGGGGTTGAAGGTGGGAGAAGACTAGCAGGGGAATCTGGGTCTCCTTAGGAGGAAGAAGATTTAGGAATTTGGAGGAGATCTTCCCAATCTGTGGTGACTGCCACACCCAACTCCATCCCTTTGGCAAGAAGCCAGGGCAGAGCTAGGGCTCTAGGACAACCTACCTGGGAGTTCACAGGGATTCTGGGAAATAAAGTACCTGTCCCCAGGCCAGGCCCTGCTCCTTCCTAGTCCTGGTTCTTAGAAAGGCTCTGGGTCAGCTAGAGGACAGCACCCTGGGACACAGCTGCAATTCTCCTGGTGTGAAGGGTTAGGACACACAGCTGGAACAGAAGTTGAAAACAGCCTAGGCTGGACACTGCTGGCTCACACTCATCCTAGCTACTCAGGAGGCTGAGATCTGAGGGGACTGTGGTTCAAAGCCAGCGTAGGCAAGGAAGTCTAATCTACAGTTAACTACCAAAAAGCCAAAAGTGGAGCTGTGGCTCAAGTGGTAGAGTTCTAGCCTTGGGCAAAAACACTAAGGGACAGCACCCAGTCTCTGAGTTCAAGCCCCGGTATTCCCTGTCTTTGTGTCTCTCAGTCTCTGTCTCTGTCTGTCTGTCTGTCTGTCTGTTTGTCCTCTCTCTTTCTCTCTTCTCTCTCTCTCTCTCTCACACACACACACACGCACGCACACACACACACACACACACACACACACACACACACACACAGACCCTATCTGAAAAACAGTAAAAAAAAGATTGAGGTATGGCTCAAGTGGTAAAATGGTTGCCTGGCATACTTGAGGTCCTGAGTTCAAACTCCAATACAAAAAGAGGGAAGAAAAGACCATCATTTTGACACTTTCTCCCACCATAGAAACTGTGGCTACCCCTGTCCCATTTTTCTTTACTCTGCCCATCTCCCACCCCCCAGGAAGGGTGGGAGCTAGTATAGCAGGGGCTCAGCTCTGAAGGTCAGACAGATCTAGCTTGGGTCCTGGTCCGTTGTGATGCTGGATTTCAGAAACCAACTCCTCTGAGCCTTTGTTTCCTCTTCTGTATAATGAACATAATCATAGTAATTCATCTCATAGTATGTTGGGTAAGACTCTTAGCAAAGGGCCTGACATCCAAAAGCACTGTCACTGAAGCCTCAGGACATCCTGAGCAGGAGAAAGCAAGTCCCAAGGTTTCGTCTTCCTTCCTTCCTTCCTTCCTTCCTTCCTTCCTTCCTTCCTTCCTTCCTTCCTTCCTTCCTTTCTTCCTTCCTCCTCCTTTTCTTTTTTATTTTCTTTCCTTTTTTCTGTGCCAATACTGGGGCTTAAATTCAGGGCCTGGGCACTGTCCCTTAGCTTTATCACTCAAATCTGGCATTCTACCACTTGAGCCACAGCTCCACTTCTGTTTTTTTGGTGGTTCATTGGACATAGGAGTCTCACAGACTTTCTCACCCTGGCTGGAAGCTAGGTTTACCAATGTGAACCACCAATGTCAGACAAGTCCCAAAGTTTCTGAGCCGCCATATACCCAGTGTCGACCAGCTCTGTCAGGACAGGGTCTGTGGGACAAGTGTTGAGGCCACTGTGGTTGGTCTGTGGAATTTGGGGCTGAGCCTCAGTTTCCCACTCTGTGTAGTGAGTGCCACAGTGGGGTTGGTACCTGAGGTGTCTTCCTGTCTGAGAGACAGGCTGGGGCCTGCTCAGGCCTCCAGGACAGGGTGTTGCTGAGATTTCTATTCATATTCCAGTCAGCCAGGCAGCCTACACACCAGGCCAGGTGCAGTGTATCCCACTAGGAGCCCCTTAGAAGACACAGGGGCCAAACCAGCAGGACAGGATGGGCTGGGCAGAAAGGGATCTAAGGTTTTTTTCTGGGTCTCTACCCACATATGGTGAGGCTAGGTACAGGGCAGGTGCCAATGGGGAATGGGGGGTACAGGTCTGAGGGAGAAGACATCCCTTTCCTTCTCCATCTCTCCGCCAGTTTTCCTTCCTTCCTTCTGTCCTTCCTTCCTCCTTCCCTCTCTCCCTCCCCATCCCCCACTTCTTTTGGAAACAAGGTCTTTATGTAGCCCAGGCTGGCCTCTAGCCAACCTCCTGCTTCTGCCTCCCTCTGCCTCTCCAAGGCTGAGATTACAAATATGCACAACCACACCCAGCCTCATCACTCTGTGTCACCTTTTGGCTACTTTCTATCTCTCTGACTCTTGGCCTTTTTTTTTTTTGGTAGATCTTGAGCCTTGAACTCAGGGCCTGGGTACTGTCCCTGAGCTTTTTGGCTCAAGGTGAGTGCTCTACCACTTTGAGCCACAGCTTTACTTCTGGTTTGCTGGTGGTTAATTGGAGACAAGAGTATCACAGACTTTCCTGCCCAGGCTAGCTTTGAACCACTATCCTCAGATCTCAGATCTCAACTTCCTGAGTAGCTAGGATTATAGGCATGAGCCACTGGCTCCTGGCTCTCTTGCCTGGTGGTTATCATAATTTCCCTCCCCCCCCTCTCTATTTTTTTTAGTAGGTCATGGGCCCTGAACTCGGCCTGGGCACTGTCGCTGACCTCTTCAGCTCAAGGCTAGTGCTCTACCACTTGAGCTACAGTGCCACTTCTGGCTTTTTCTGCTTATCTGGTGCTGAGGAATCGAACCCATGGCCTCATGCATGCAAGGCAAGCGCTCTACCACTGAGCCACCCTTCCAGCCCTGTGTCCTCTCTCTTTTCCTCCCCTCACCTTTCTGTCTCTCTAACTCTACTTCTCCATCTCTTTTCCATTCCTTTCTCTTTCCTCTGTCTCTTTTGATAGCTTTTCACTGACTTTCCCTTTAACTCCTTCTCTTCTTTCTTCTTCCCTATTTCTCTTTATTTTTCAGCCTGTCTGCTCTAAGCCTATCTCTCTGCTTCTTTCTCTTTCTGCTTTTCCTTGTCCCTCCTCCCCCGCTACTTCCCCCCCCCCCCAAGCTGGGATTCTTAACCAGGTCCTCATTCACACTAGCAAAGTTCTGCCATTGAGCTAAACCTCAGCTCCGTCCAGATCTGTTTCTCCAACCTCAGTACAAGCATTTGAACACAGTGCTTTGCCTCCCTCAGCCTGCTTGGCAGTCACTCTGCCCCTTGAGCCACATCCCAGAGGTGCTCATTTTGCTGGTTACTTTGGATATAGTCTTTTAAAAAGTCTTAGCTGGTGGCCAGGTGGCTCCCAGTCATAATCCTAGCTACTCAGGTTTGAAGCCAGCCTAGGCAGGAAAGTCCCCATGAGACTCTTATCTCCAATTAATCACTCAAAAACCAGAAGTGGTGCTGTGACTCAAGTGGTGAGCAAAAGAGTTCAGAGAAAATGCTCAGACCCTGAGTTCAAGCCCCACAACTGACAAAAAAAAAAATTCTCATGGACTTTTCTGTTTAGACTGGCTTCAATCCTTGATCCTCTGGATCTCAGCCTCCCAAGTGGCTAGGATTACAGGGGTGAACCACCAGCACCTGGAGCGTATTTTTCTTCTCCCTCTCTTTAGCTCATTTCTGCCACTCACCCTGCTCCCAGTTTGCCTCAACTTCTGACGCTTTGTTTTTCCATCACTCTCCTCCCTTTCTTCTCTCTCTTCCCTCATTGCTCATTCCTTTCTCCGTCTCCTTTTGTCCCCTATCCTTTGAGCGTGCACACGTGTGTGTGTGTGTGTGTGTGTGTGTGTGTGTGTCCCTCTCTCCTTTTGGGGTTTCCCCTTTTCCCTCTCTCTCTTTCTCTCTCTGTCATCTTCTCTCTCCACACCTTGACCCTCCTCCCAGTACCTCACAGAGTTCTAGGTATACCCCACCCTCCCTTTGCATTTGCCAGAGACTGAGACTCAGCGCCTGACCCTCCCTGGGAGGGGACTTGTCTTTAGTAGTTGAGATGAATGTATTGGAGGCCCAAGAAGCAGGGTGATTTGCTGGAAGCCCTTCGACAAACCAGGAGAGAAATCAGATCAGATTTCCCTTGGCACCTGGAGACACCTTCCCAGGACATACCCCCCCATGCCCATCCCCCACTTCTGGCCTTCCCACCTCTGGGCCTTGCTCCCCACTGGTCCTCACAGGGTGCCCTCCCTCTGGGCTTTGGAGCTGGCCCTCCCAGCCTTACCCAGAAGGCTCTGTGCGTGCTCTGTGTGGGAGAATGGGGCGGGCAGTGCCTAGCTCCAGACCTTGCTGTGTTCATTCAAAAACCAAGCAGTGACTGCATTTCCTGTGTACCAGGCACTGGGTGAGACCCTGGAGAGGGGCAGGGAGGGGGAAGGGAGGGAAAGGAGGGGAAACACATCCCCTGGGAAAATGGGGTCTGCCAAGCCCTGAGAAGGAACAGCCCCCAACCTAGTGTCCATTGGATCCTTCAGGAAGACACTGCCAAGTATCACAAGAGATTTATTGAAGGAAGTGCTTGGAAAAGATGAAAGCGCAGGAAGTTGGACTGGGCAGGGAAAGCCTCCGGATCATGCTTCAGTGCTGACATCTCTGAAAAGAGAGGCCAAGGGAAGGAGGTTGGGTAAGAAGAGTCTTGCATTGAGAAAGTCCCCAGCCAGCTAGCTGGGACAATGCTGCCAGGATTTCCCATGGACAAATCCCAGGCCCTAGTGACCCCATTG